TAGTCTTAAGGTGTGCTATATTTATGGAATAAAGTGCTCAATATCAGAGATAGAGCGTGTGTAAATATAAAAGTGAACATAGAAATCAACACTTAGAGTCTGTTTCATGCTATATGCAATCGTCAGGCCTGACGATCGCATATAACATGAAACAGACTGTTCACTTATGTTCCTTATATATATATATATATATATATATATATATATATATATAGATAGAGAGAGAGAGAGAGAGAGAGAGAATGTACCTTCACTCGTGTACATACTGTCCGAAAAATAACAAAACACAGCAAATGAACCATCATCCGTAGAAAATGGCGAAAATAGAAAATATATTTGTTTTATTTATAATTACTATTTAGTCTATATTTCGTGAATTTCACTCAGAAATTTAATGAACTTAAATTTACCTCAAACTTTGGCACTCAGGTCAATTCTGATGCATCAAGTAAATAAGAAACTGTATTTGGGTGACTATTAAGTATTATAGTCTGAAAAGTTACACACACACACACACACACACACACACACACACACACATATATATATATATATATATATATATATATATATATATATATATATATGCAAATACTGTGAAAATGAAAGGCGTGACATATACACTGACTTCATATTAAGTGCTAAACGGTAGAGGGCCTGAGTGAGGTGGGTGGTTAATGATGTAAAAGGCATGAGGCACTGTACCCAGTTTATCAGTGCAGATTTATACCCATGCACCTGGGAATTCATATATTTTTCTTGTATCCATGTCTGCTTGGATTTGTATTCGACATGAAATTTTCCCGCCTCAACGATTTTTCTGTATCGAGCAAATTTCGTTGATTCTTCTTCTGTTCATTTTTTTTTTTTTTATTGTCAATAACAAGCTCACGCCACCCCCGTCTTCTCCGCCTTCCCGCCTCCTCTCGTTGCCTTTGCTTTTGTGTGAAGGCTTTCAGTGAAATGAGAAGAAAATTCACATTTCATACCCAAACAAAAGCCACTACCAAGGTTGGAATGATCAAAAGATTTTACAAGTATTTTCTTAAATACAGTGCTTTTATCATTGTGCAAAGTGAAATTCGATCCGTAGAAGTTACCTTGTGCCAAGCTTGTTTGCGTCATCAAATAAAATGATGAAAGAAATTGATCCGTATTTTTTCCACATTGCAACTAATGTTTTCCTAACACAATCGCATTTTGCCGAAGAATTTGGTTAGAAGTCTTTTCTTCGAGCAGCATAGATTTACTGAAATATTATATAATATTTTACTAAGTTTTCTGTAACTCTCCGGTAGAATGAAACCCTTGCAATATTTGTAAATATGAAATACCTTTTAGGCATGTATAATTTTGAAATTAATTCAGTGCTTCGCGACCATTTTAGATGAATCTATGTGCTAGAAAAGAAATTCTTCGTTGATTATTCCCTAAAGAGCGAATTCGAATTACCGATTGTCTAACAAGAATCTTGAATGACGAAGATAAGTGAAGAATGGAAAAAATACTTTCCCTAAGTTTTGATGAGAGGAAAGACTAAGATATTGAGTTCAACTGATGGAAACCCGTGATTGTGTTGGTGGGTGATTTTGTTGTATAACGGGTGGAATTGGGTGGGGAAAAGAGTTTCACCTCCTCTCGACATAAAGGCTTGTCAATAGCCGTAAAAATTGCGATTGCCATGAAAAATTTTTAAAATAAAGAAAAGAAAGTGTTTTTGTTTTGTTTTGTTGTCGCAATGAAATAAAAGCCGCAAAAGAGGTTCTATAGTCGATAATGCAAACGAAACAAACCGATAAAAGGCTACCTTTGTTCGCGTTGACTATTCTCGTACTACACGTGGATCTGACAGCAGTAGAAAGAAGAAAAAAGAAGAGAAAGATGAGGAGAAGAAAGAAAATAGGGGAGGCTTCATGACTATTCATGATGGATATAAAAAGAGTCGACAACATGGCCATCGTATCATAAGCTTCTCAGGTGGGCGGGAACAACGATAGAGAAGTTGGACGGGGTGTCGGGAAATTAGAAATGAAAACGATGAAATCAAGAGAGAAGAAATAAAAAAAAAGGGAAATATTAGAGAATGAATGATATGTAAGGAAAGAATAATGACGAAAGCAAAATAATATGAAGAAATAAGAATATGGGGGGAAAAAGAGGAAGAAAAGGGAAAAGAAGAACGAAGATAAGTAAATAAATTTTTAAAAAAAGGTGAAAGAAATAAAAGAAAATGAATAAGGAGACGGAAGGAAGATGAAATGAAGAAGAAATTAGAAGGAACGAGTTAAAGAAAATGATAAGAAATATAAAGAAAAGATGAAAGGAAGTGAAGAAAGAAACACATTTTATAAATGGAATTAAAAAAATTCTTTGCTTTGTATGTGTAAGTTACGTTCAACTAATACTTTATATTCGGAGGGTTATTGTTGAGAAGGAACTGACCAAAAATTCAGTTAAATCACGTTACTAGAAATTCATGTTTTAACTACATCACTTATCGATGCATGATAATGATTTAGTGAGTTTCGTGTTTTCTTTTCCCTTAGCAACACTGACATGTTCATGCCCTTACAAAAATGAATATTTGGAATACAGATTTGCAAAGTAAGTAAATTCTCGCCTACTTGCTTCCCTACACCCGATTTTTACATACTTGACCTGTGGTTGTACTTTGTTATGTTTCGTAATATCCGATTGTTACAAATATAAAAATATCAAACAATAAAATACATACATACATATATAATATATTCGCGCGCCCAAAGGAGAGGAAGTGTGAGTTTGTAAACAGTGACTATACTGCTAATGATGCAAGACTCTTCGGTAAAGTGAATTGAGTTCTCTCAGTGTGTTAAAAATAAATACACTTAAATTCACCTGCATCCCTGCCGTGCGCCAACGGCTTAGGGGTAGAATCTCAGACTGACGCCAATTCAGCCGGGTTTTCGTCCTAGCAAGAGTTGAATACGCGACCATGGTTTCGAAACCAACGCCGCCTATTCAACTAACCTCCTAATTTTTTTTTATATATATATATATATATATATATATATATATATATATATATATATATATATATATATATATATATATATTCAGTTGTATGGATATGAGTTTGTGACCCTGGTTTTCGCTTTTTGCGATTATCAGACAAACTGGCTTATTTTTTAAAAATAAGATCTATTTATGTTTGTTTGAGAATGTTTGAGGGTGGAGGAGAAATTTCCATCTGTGCCTGTTCGGGATGACACTCACACACACATGCACACACACACATACAGGTGTACGCATTTTAGTTCACAAACGCACACATATAAACAATCCGAGGCCAGGCACAGATACACAAATAAGTGCTCATGCAGACATACGTACGCAATTTTGATAATATCTCGGTGTCGGGACCGTGGCTTTTTATGTGTAGCGATGTTCCTATCAACAAGGGGCGGGTAGGTGTGTTGCTGACAGATCTATCGCCTGAGTCATCAGATAAACTTACACTTCCTCACACACATATACACACATGTAGACGCGCAGATACACTCCTATTGGGTTTTGTTTGTGGGCATGATGATGGTGGTGTTTGTATTTTTGAGCGCTTTCCACTAAGTACTGCACATAAAAAATATATATATATATATATATATATATATATATATATATATATATATATGATTGAATAAATTACAGACATTATGTTTGCTAATTTTTAACATACTAATTAATTAACTAACCTTCCGTGTCCATCACCGTGATTTTTCATTATGCTTTTAAATGCAAACGGTAATGGATAGCAACACACAGCTTTGTATAAATAATTGTACCCTTGAACAACATATAGTTTTGTACTACTTGCACCCCTGAAGATGATCTTAGAAAGAGATCGAAAGTACTTGGGAAATGAAAATAAAATAAATTTAAACAGCTATGGCAGATTTCTCTCATCCTTTAACATCAATACACGGAAGGTTATTTGTAAGTATGAACGGATTTTGGTAAAAATTAGCAGACAAAGTCTATAATTTATTTAATCAGACATGCCTAAAAGAGAATTTGCTAAGTATACAATATATATATATATATATATATATATATATATATATATATATAGTTTATGAAAAACTAGGTAATCCGTATGGGTAAACCTAAGGAGGATAAAATCCAGAGAGCTCAATGTAAATTCAGAGCAAATAATTTAAATAAAAACAGACTACTTTAAGGTTCCATGTAATAAATTATTTCACCACAGCCCTTTTAAAAGAACTGCGGATCATCAGACATTAAATCCAAACAAAAAATGAAAAGAAAATTTACACATTTTTGACGGGCCGTATTAAACATATGTAAATTAACGAAGTGAGGAAGTGAGGGGGGAGAGAGAAGACATGAGTGAGTTAGCAGATATTGACATATTTAAACGGTTTTTATATATATATATATATATATATATATATATATATATATATATATAATTTCTGATTAATCTTTTAATTTGACCTCGAAATGAAATATCAATAAGTATATGCGTTAATCTTCGTTTTTGACAGACCTTTTATTTTCTTTCCTTTCCTATCCTCTTTTTTGTTCTTTCTTTTAAATGATTTACTACTCTTTCTTTTCCTGTTTTATCATCCTGCTTTTTATTTTCTCCTTTCCAATTTTCTTCGCAAATACACGTACTTTCACTCTTTATTTTCTTTTTCAATGTTTCTTTCTTCTCTCATACCAAAGCTTACTTTATACTTCTCACCCTCTGTCGATCTTTTCCCCCTTTCTCCTTTCTTTCTTCACACAAATTCACCGTCATCTTTCTTTTTTCTTTATATCCATGCTCTCTTTTTCTTTCCACTTCTCACCCGCTCCTTACTTTCCCCTTGTCTGTTTCTGCTCCTTGCTCTATGCTTTATTGAAATCTTTTGCCCTTGACCAATGTACAAAACGAAGCGTGAAGCGTAAAAGTTTCTTTTAAGAGCGATCAGCAAAATCAGACGTAGACCTTCTACAAGTTTTTTCTTCTTTTTTTTTTAGTGTTTCTTTTCTTCTCTGCTTTGCCAACGAACCACGTTCTTCCCTTTTCAACAAAGAAAAGCATTGCACCGTAGCAACATGTCCTTCTCGCTGCTTTCAGGCATTACCCCAGATCCGTTCGGGTTCAATTCATCGCCTCCGTCCTCACCTTCCGTATTAAAAACCTATTCAGCTCTCCCACCTCCATAATGCCTGTTAAGAGACACTGCGACCTAGGTCACATGACGAGCTAGAGGCGCCAACTCAACGCATCGACATTATCAACTGTTTCATGTTGTTCGCTGTTAATCTATTTGCAAACAACATGATTGGTTTTGGAATCAAATCAAAAATGCTGACTCTGAAAGGAGGAGGGGGGTGCTAAAACGCTTACCCATCTCGAGTCTCGGATTTCAGGACTAGTTTTCTCAGTTCGGTAGGCTGTCTCCTTCTTCACTCTTTTGATTTGCGGCTAAGTACCGCGAAAGGACAAGTGTCATATGCAGATCGAGGAAGAGAGAGAAATAGAGACAGAGAGAAAAGAGGGGAGCAGAGAGAGAGAGAGAGAGAGAAAGAAGCAAAAAGAGAGAGAGATAGGGGTTCTTACATTCCTAACAATTTTCGTATACAATATCGGGTGCCTGTTATGAAATGTCCCTCCATTTGGTTTCGTTAGGCGGCTGGTGCAATGGATAGCGGCTCGGATTGCGGAATCGGATAGCCGAGTTCGAATCCATTACATTCACTTACGTGTTAATACCCTTGGGAAAGGCATGAATCCCCTTCTTCGCTCTAGACCGGGTTCTATAGCCTTGGATAGCAACTGGTCTACTGCAGAAAGAAATGGCAACCTACTGCGGAAAAAGATCTGCCTCGTCAGTCATGTATCGAAAGATATAAGATATAAGCGTGTATTACGTATGGCACAAAAAGGTAAAGGTATGAATCCTCTCCATCTCCCCACATGCAAGTTATGGGTAAATAGCAGGATGGGCCGGGTTCTATAACCTTGGATGGCAACTGGTCTACAGCAGAAAGAAATGGCAACCTACTGCGGAAAAATATCTGCCTCGTCAGTCATGTATCGAAAATTACTTGATCGGCTAAGAGTGTATCACGTATGGCACATAACTGACTGACCCTTGGGAAAGGTATGAATCCTCTCCGTCTGAAAGCTATGGTCAAATAACAGGGGTTAAATAGCAGGACAGACCGGATTCTATAGCCTTGGGTGGCAATTGGTCTACCGGAGAAAGAAATGGCAACCTACTGCGGGAAAAAAATCTGCATCGTCAGTCATGTATCGAATGATATATGATCGTCTAAGCGTGTATTACGTATGGCAAAAAAGGGACTGACCCCTGGGTAAGGTAGAGGTTAAATAGCAGGATAGACCAGATTCTATAGCCTTGGATGGCAACTGGTCTACCGCAAAAAGAAATGGCAGCCTACTGCGGGAAAAAATCTGCCTCGTCAGTCATGTATCGAAAATTACTTGATCGGCTAAGCGTGTATCACGTATGGCATATAACTGACTGACCCCTGGGAAAGATATGAATCCTCTTCTTCTCCCTTCCCCCAGCTATGGTTAAATAGCAGGGGGTAAATATCAGGATAGGCCGGGTTCTATAGCCTTGGATGGCGACTGGTCTACCGCAGAAAGAAATGGCAGTCTACTGCGGAAAAAAAATCTGCTTCGTCAGTCATGTATCAAAAGATATATGATCGTCTAAGCGGGTATCACGTATGGTACATAACTGTCTGACTAAGCTTAATCCTGCTGACATGGTTGTAAGCAGCACCCTAATAAGTGTATATATAGTTTTAACTTATAGATTGCCATCAAATTTGAATTTTAATTACTCATTGTTGATTTAGAATTGACTTTTCCTGTAATTGAACAAGCGAATATATAACAGTTTCAATCCCAAAGAAATACAATTTTCTGATTAAGAAATTGCTTCTTAATTGTTTTTTTTTTAAGTATGCAATTTATTGTTTGTGTCTCGTTGTTCTTGTATTATTATTGTTCTTTAAATATGCTGCTCTTTAGACGGGGGCCTGCTGAAATATTCTCATCCCAAACCACTTCCCCGTCCTGTGTATGACGATAAATTTCATCCGCGTTTTGGGTAAGACGATAAACTACATCCAATTTCAAGGCCTCTGATCAGGTCCAGGTGATAGCACCTATTAGGGTCACAGCTATGGGCAAATACTTATCCCCCCAAAAGGAGTCAAAACACTATGGAAGTATAAAAATAGGTTTTAATACCAACAATACATTTTTGGAAAAATTATTACCAGCAGTACATCTTTGAAAAAGAAAAATATTACCAGCAGTACATTTTTGAAAAAGAAAAATATTACCAGCAATACATTTTTGAAAAAGAAAATTATTACCAGCAGTACATCTTTGAAAAAGAAAAATATTACCAGCAGTACATTTTTGAAAAAGAAAAATATTACCAGCAATACATTTTTGAAAAAGAAAATTATTACCAGCAGTACATCTTTGAAAAAAAAATATTAAAAATTTTGAAAAAAAAATATTACCAGCAATACATTTTTGAAAAAAAAAATTACCAGCAGTACCTTGAAAAAGAAAATATTGTACATTTTGAAAAATATTACCAGCAGTACATTTTTGAAAAAGAAAAATATTACCAGCAATACATTTTTGAAAAAAAAATTGTCCTAGTGTTGTATGGATTGCAAATTTTCAGAACTTTCCCGAAAAGCCCTTGACGGTAGCACTAAAGCCAACAGTATGGCTGAGATACGTAAATAACACCTTTATACTCTGGCCGCACCAAGACACTATACAAATACTGCTGAATCATGTGAACTCAATAAGACCTTCGATCCAGTTCACAATGTAAGAGGAAAATAATAATCAAATAACTTTCCTGGGTGTACTAAAACCTCTCACAGAGAATGGATTCGAAACGTCCGTATATCATAATCCAACCTTCACTGGACAATACCTGAACTCCCATCATCGATACAGTGTGAAGAAAAGGGATAGTTCGATGCCTGCAACACCGGCGATAATCACAAATGGCAACCCAGGCACATACCACCAAGAAATGATCAGCATCAAACGTACACTTCACAATAATAACTTCCTTGTATTCACAATATCAGCGTCTACAGGTGGGAACAGAAAGGTCAAGGAGGAAGACCAGAAAATTGCCACGGCCACTCTACCTTACGTCAAGGAGTTATCAGAAAAGATTCAGAAGTTCAGGACAATATTCAAAAACAGTTCCACTCTACGGAGAAATATCTGCCAAGTCAATGCTATCACGAGGGAGAACATGACTAAGAACTACGTGTACTCGAATACTCATGGTTCATGCAATTGGGTTACCAGTGAAAATAGCTCGTCAGAGAAGTTACCATGAGAATATTTGTAGAAAAGACAGAGGAAAGCCACACCACGTCTGTGAGAAAGTGACTGGAGTCGAGATGCCACCTATCACATTGCATATCCGTCTTTGGATTTTGTCGAGAACCTCGAGATGAACAACGAGGGCACCAGATCATATATGGCAACAGTATTCAATGCAAGGACGAATGATAGTTTTGCAGATTTGAAGCGTGGCCTCAGAGAACCAACTTTCCTTGCGGTAGATGAAGCTATTGATTCAATGTGGTTGTTCCCTGCAAACTTAACATCAGCGTCTACAGGTGGAAACAGATAGGGTCAAGGAGGAAGACCAGAAAATTCCCACATCCAGTCTTGCTTACGTCAAGGGCTTATCCGAGAAGATTCAGACAATTTGCAGGTCATACAACATTAGAACAATACAATATTCAGGAGCAAGAAAGCACTGCCGGGTAAAGCGTAACATGTGTGGGAATATAACCAAGAACTGCGTGTACTCAATCTCTTACAGTTGTGGCAAACAATATAAAGGTGAAAAAGCTACCCACTAAAAGTAAGGCTACAGGAATATCGAAAAGCCGTAGCGAGGAGAGAGACAATGAAATCGGTCATGGTTGATCATGTATGGAGGGAAAGGTGTAGTCATCAGCCCCTGTGGAATAAAATAAAAATACTAGACAAGGAAGAACACTGGGAAGTTAGACATATGACAGAATAAGCGCATATGTTAGAGTATGGTTCCTCCGTAGAAGGTTTAGCATAGAAATAAATAAAATATGGGAGCGGCTTATAAAGAAAGATAAATGACAGCAAGTCTTCAACAGCAGCAGCAGTCAAGCATGATAATCAGCAGTACAAATCAGCAGTAAGGTTCCAATTTCACAAGAAAATTCTCCGACAATAGCCGTGTGGATTAAAGGTTTGGTTTGTGAATTTGGTGACATAGTAATTGTGTGTTCAATCCCTGGTCCGGGTATTGTGTACTTGGACTCAGTGGAAATAGGCGGCAATAATTCAGTAATACTAAAAATAAGACGAGATATTCCTAGAAAAGAGCAGTGAAATGAGAACAGTCTACCGCCACAGATTAAATAGAGGCTTCAGTTCAGGATTCCCTGTCGATTACTCTTTTTAGTCCCAGTGACTAAAGGATATAGTTAATGTAATGGCCAGAAAATAAGTAAAAAGATAATAGTTAAGCAGCAAGACTATGGAAACGGAAGCACTCTGGTTGTCTATGACCTAAGAAATTTAAACAGAAAAGGTCTTGTTTACAGCGTGTTAGATATAAAATGTATTTTGATAACAGAATACTACCTGTTGTGATAATTAAAGTGCGTGTTGAAATCAAAATAGTAAGGTATAATGCAGAAAGGCATTTTCTTTTTGCAGGACAATGCACATATTCACAGTGATAGAAAGAGGACGGATACTTTAAAGAATTTGTACTTTATGGTACAGACTCTATGCTATTAGTACTTTATGCTATCCAATCTACACACAAAGTCATGATCATTTATTTTCTGTTTCCAAAATAATATGAAGTTGAGAAGGGAGACATTTTGAACGATTCGGACGTGATATTATAACGTTAACGGCAGAGCACAGATGTAAATAAGTCTGATTCCAAATCGATGTTGGAGCGGAAAACAATGCACGAGTGCCGCCTGCCGGCAGAAATTTGAAATAAGAACATCTGCTGAATATACTTTATTATGCTATTTTGTTTTCATGATTTTATCATTATATATATATATATATATATATATATATATATATATATATATATA